TTTGGCGCCAGGGCTTCCATAATAATTACAAACAAAAAGGGTGCTATAGGATCTCTTTGTCTGACTGATCTCTGCAACCAGATAGGAGGAGCAACATTGTCCTTAATCATTACTTTGGTAGTGACATTTTTATGCAGGACCTCGACCCACTTTCTAAAATGTGGACCAAATTTTAAAATTTCAAGGCATTTATCCAAAAAGAACCAATCAACATGACCATATGTTTTTTCAAATTCAATGAAAATAAAAGTCGCATTATGCTTAGATTAACGGGTTAGCTTGACTAGTTCATTAATTAAGAGCATATTATCTTGTATATTCCTACCTGCAATAAATCCTGTTTGGTTATGATGAATGATATCCGTGATTATTTAATCAAGCGATCAGCAAATACCTTAGCTACCAATTTGTAAACAACTGTGAGCAGGGTGATTGGACCATAGTTTTTAATATTTGTCTTCATTTTTTTTAATTATCCTTAGAGTGAGTATCCCACAATGCTACCCAGAACTCCTTGGGTAGTCCATCTATTCCATGGGTTTTCTCCTTCTCCATTAACATTAAGGCTTTCCATATTTCCTTCTTTTTGAGGTTTTTTTCCATACTTGCAAACCTACCGCGCGGCTGCACCGTCCGGTCCACCTTACGGGGTCCGGTCCGGGACCTTCCCGTCTGGCCTACAAGCCCGTACCCCTACCAGACAGGACCGCACCGTGTCCGGTAGGGCCATCTCCCGTCCGGTCCGGTTTTGTGCGCGAACTGTGCGGGGAGGTCCAATACTCCGTGCGGTCCTGTAGGAAAACAATTTAATTTTTATTTTATTAATTTCACTGTGAGGCGGGAATGATATGTAACGCACTTTATGGTTGTGGTTGACGCAAAGACACTGCGTCATCATCGAACCTGCAAGCAGCAAACAAAACCCAACACGAAACAGAACAACAGCAAAGCGCAAACACATGCAAACTTGCAAAGTAGCGCAGAGAAGAAAGCAGAAAAAGTGCAGTGTTGTCCATAGATATTGAAACTTCGAAGTTATTGTCATGAGAACGATGCTCATTTGGAGTCTAGAAGAGATACCCTTCAAAAAGCACACCCACCCAATCTACTCCTGTCCTCCATCGACAACATTGTCACCACCCTCCTCACTCCCTTGATCCTCATCCCCTTCGTCTTCCCTCCCGACATCACCCTCGCAATGATGTTCGTCACCAGCAGATGATGCAGAAGGTGAAGATGGCGACGATGATGATGATGAAGACGAGGACGACACTTCACAATCGTCATAATCCAGGATGACCGACATCCTCTTCCCCGCCTGCTTCATTGCCTCTTTTGTGACGAGGCGGGAGGATGTTGGGACATCTGGAGCTGCAGCAGCCGCTTTCCTGACAACTTTCTTAGTAGCTCTCGCTGCTGCTCTCTTCGCTGCTTTCTTAGCAGCTTTGTCCGCCGCTGCAGCCTTCTTTGCATCCTTTTTCGCAGCCTTATCCGCTTTTTTCCTCTCGGCCACTTCAGCATTGATGGGGTGTCCTCTCTTTTTTTTCTTGGGCGGTGAAAGATGTTCTTCGGCAGGGCATTTTTTCGCAACATGGACTTCAACAGCATGTTGTTGCTGCCGTCCTTTTGCTCTGCTGCTGCCCCCTGGGCATCTACCTTCCACCCAATCGCCTGTCTCTCGTGCCCGCAACGCACGCGCGCACTCCTCAACGTTCTATTCCACTAAGGGGTCTGCTCGCTCGTGCCCCGATCTCCTCCTCAACAAGCGCTCTCTATGCCTCCCTGGCGCAGTGTAGAACTGCCACTCATTTGTGTAGTTCTGAATATGCATGATGTCATCCTCTTCATCCATCATGTCGCCAAGTCTGTCATTGCGAAACCATCTTCTTGCCAAAGGCAAATCACCTTCATCGTCCTACTCTGCAATGACAACGCTATGGTCCTCTGCGTTAGCCCCCATATCCCCGGTGCTCTCCTTTACTTTCTGCACCCACTCGTTGTAAAAGCGCTCTGCCTCCGCCTTGTTCTCCGCATTTGGTAAGTCCTCCATCCACGGGATGTGGACATCGTCTTGGCCAGCCCCCTTCTCTTGCCTCCACTGCAGGTGGAGATTCCAATTATTGTACACGAGCTTGGCAAGACGGCCCGACAACAGCTTCGTCCTCCTCCTGCCGAAAATGAGCTCGTGCAAGCTCCAGTTGCGCTCACAAGCGGCAGAGGAGCTTGTCTGTCCGAGCAGCTTGATCGCTTGGGGCTGCAGGAGGTTTAGGCGTGACCCGAACGAGTCCCACCACATGGAGGGGGTCCTCAATCGTGCCCCATCCAATGCCTCTCTCGACCCCAATGCACCCTTCATGCGAACCCAGTCGTCCACTTGCCAACTGATGTCATTTAAATCGTCTGGCGCGGCCCAGGTGTACAACCATATGTTGAAGCCCTCCCGGATCTCCGTATCGTGGATGGCAGAGTGTGCACGAAACTCCGGATCCAAAAATGTTCCTGCACAATGCAGCTCCGATGTCATGAATGCCCATCGATCCATGAGGATCGATTCCCCCTCCGCTTTCTCAAAATCCATAAGGACTTCCAACTTCCTGATCTCGTCCACTACGTCGTCCATATGATGATAAACCTTGCTGATGGTGGCCCCTGGACTGTCCACCATCTTCAGTAACTTCACGATAGCCTCCGTAGTATTGATGGACTTCTCAACATCGTCCCAAAAGTTGTCGTCAAGGATAGTTGCCGTGACTTCCTCAAAGTTGGACCGCAGATCGGTCCGCACCATGCTAGGCACCCAGCCCTTCGCACCTGCAACAAGTTGGAGGGCATTCTTTCGGTCCCAAACAGACTGCAACATGATAATATTTGTTACGAATCTGGTTACTCCCGGCCTCTTTAACTGTGCCCCGCCTGAACGTTCAAGGAAGAATGCACAAGCCTTGTCGTGGTTCATGATGAACTTCCCCAACTCGTTCGCTCTCTTGACCATCCTGGAAAACCATCCAATTCGCTTGTCGAAGTCCTCCAATGCAAGGTCGAGGGCATGCTTCGTGCACCCGACCCTGAAGATCCAAGGGTACTTCTTTTCGACAAGCTTCCCCGCCTTAACACAAACTCTCGCGTTGTCCATGATCACGCTGACCACACTCTTAGGTCCAATGTCCTAGATTGCAACATCCAGGATGTTGTAGTACGCTATGGAGTCCTTCTCCTTCCCTTCTACACAAACGAACCTCCAAAAGACGGTCCCTACAGGGGAGGAGACCATCACATTGATGTGCGGTCTCCCTCGCCTATCGAACCACTCATCCATCTGCACCATACACCCTGTTCTCTCCCACTTCTCTGCAATCATCCGCACATCCTCGATGCACCTCTTGTTTTGGCTATCCAGTCGACCGTTCCTCGCGGCCTCGCTACTGTGCATCCGCCATGAGGGATGGGCATTTTGTATAGCGTCAACCATGTCAAGGTAAAATTCTTTCTTGACCATATTGAAAGGTCAGTTTGTGCAGGTCAACCAGGTGTCGACCTTCCTTGACGTCATCTCCTCCAGCACCATTTATCGCACAGATGAAGCGGATCGTCGTGTGTCGGACGTTGCAACCGCTCTTCCCTTGTCCCTACCCACGTTCTCCACAACAATCGGTGCAGCAACCAAACTAGACCCACAAGGAAGAATGTTGTCACCGTCCGCCATCGCCACGTCAGCCAGAGCCTGACTCAACCCCTTCTTCCTTGCTTCTTTTTCTTCGTCTGTGAAAACTTTTCTTCTCTGCTCCGCCGCACAACTCCCCTTTGAGTAATGATCCTTGATACGGGGTAGGGTGCCTGAGAATTTGAAATCGCAGTACTTGCAGATCCACCATTTGCCGTCCTTGGTTGGATCTTTCCCTGTGACCCCTTCAACGTGGCAATGCCGCTTGATCATAGCGGCAATGTACTTGCTACTCGCCATTCTGACCTGCAGACAGGAAGAACTGTCGGACGTAATGAGGAGGAGAGAAGATGGAGTAGAAAGAGGAGGACATGGGGGAGGAGGGTGACGAGGTGGGGAGGAGGAGGAGGAGGAGGAGGAGGAGGAGGAGATACCACGCCAGTTCGGGACTTCAAAGTTCCCGTGAAAAATAAAAGTGACCAAGCCGTGACAACAAGGATGAGAGGTGGACGAGGGCAGGTGGAGAGATGGAGGGGAGATGGAAGAGGCAGGATATAAGAGAGATGGAGGAGGAATATCAGAGGAGAGGAGGATGACGGCGAGATAAGGAGGAGATTCCATGACAGTCTGAAATTCGAAGTTCCCATTAAAAAAAAAAAAAAAAAAAAACTGACAAGGCTGTGACAAGAAGGATAAAAGGTGGAGGAGGAGAGATGGAGAGATGGAGGAGGGGAGATGGAGGGGAGATGGAGGAAAGAGGGATGAAGAGGGGAGATGGAGGAGGAGGAGGTGAGGAGGATGAGAGATGGATGATGAGGAGGAGGAGGAAAGGTGGAGGAGGAGAGATGGAGAGATGGAGGAGGGTAAATGGAGGGGAGATGGAGGAGGAAGGAGGGATGAAGAGGGGAGATGGAGGAGGAGGAGGTGAGGAGGACGAGAGATGGATGATGATGAGGAGGAGGAGAGGATAAGGGTGACGAGATGAGGAGGAGATACCACGACAGATGGAACTTATCGAACTTCTCCCGTTAAAAAAAAAAGAAAAGTGACGAGGCTGTGAAGGATAAGAGGTGGAAGAGGAGAGATGGAGAGATAAGGGAGGGGAGATGGAGTCGTGATGGAGGAGGAAAGATTGAGGAGGAAAGATTGAGGAGGAGGGATGGAAGAGAGATGGAGGAGGAATACCAGAGGAGCGGAGGGCGACAACGAGATAAGAAGGAGATACCATGACAGTCCGAACTTTAAAGTTCCCGTTAAAAAAACAAAAGTAAAAAAAAGGGACGAGGCTGTGACAAGAAGGATAAAAGGTGGATGAGGAGAGATGGAAGAGGGAAGATGGAGGGGAGATGGAGGAGGAAAGAGGGACGAAGAGGGATGGAAAAGAGATGGAGGAGGAGGTGAGGAGGCCGAGAGATGGATGACGAGGAGGAGGAGAGGAGAAGGGTGACGAGATGAGGAGGAGATACCATGACAGATTGAACTTCAAAGTTTCTGTTAAAAAAAAGAAAAGTGATGAGGTTGTGACAAGAAGGAATAGAGGTAGAGGAGGAGAGATGGAGAGATAGAGGAGGGGAGATGGAGGCGTGATGGGGGAGGGAAGATGGAGGAGGAGGGATGAAAGAGAGATGGAAGAGGAGGAGGTGAAGAGGAGAGATGGACGGCGACGAGGAGGAGGAGAGGAGGATGACGACGAGATAAGGAGGAGATACCATGCCAGTGATGAAGCCGTGACAAGGAGGATGAGAGGCAGAGGACAAGAGATGGAGAGGTGGAGGAAGAGAGATGGAGAGATGGAGGAGGAGAGGAGGAGGAGGAGGATTGATGGAGGAGGAGAGATGTAGAGATGGAGGAGAAGGAGGAGGAAGAGGGATGGGGGAGGAGGACGACCAGATATGGAGGAAGACCGATGAACGAGGAATTGAAGAGGACAAGATACCAACGCTAATCGAAGTTTACATAAGAAAAGGTGATGACACCTTGACGGGGAGGGATGGAGGAGGAGGAGGAGGAGGAGGAGGAGAAGGATGAGGAGGAGGAGAGGAGGAGGAAGATGACGTGGAGGAGGAAGTGACTAGAGAGGAGGAGAAGAGATGCAGGAGGAGGCGAGGTGGTGAGAGGTGGAGGAGGAGGAAGTGACGAGGAGGAGGGGAGATGGAGGAGGACTCGACTAGGAGCGAGGCAAGTGTCCAACTTCCCATGCTATGGGAAAAGAAAGAGAAGACGACACAGTGACAACCCCAAGGAGGAGAGGAGGAGGAGGAGGAGGTGAGTCTAAGGGAGGGCAGGAAGGCTGGTGAAAACTCACCTTGGATGAGGGTCGAAGTCGGCGATGGTCGCTCCACAACTCAACCTCGACGATGGTGCAAATGCAGGGGAGGTCGACGTTGCTCGTAGCGGGGCATTGACGGCGCTGCTCGTAGCGGGGGACTGACGGCGCTGCTTCCTGGAGTGGGTTGGAGGCGGCTGCAATGAGGAACCTGCGAATACTAGGAAACGGCCCCCCCCAACCCAAAACGAAATTTGAAATCATTTCAAGCGCGGCCCGCTAAATGTTTTTTTCAGCCCCAATACCATTTTTGCGGGTGGATCGAACCCGCCACCGGAGCTTGGTAATTTCTAGTAGTGTTAGTACCGAAGAAGAGCAGATCAATCCGCATACACATCGATTATCGCAAACTGAATGAAATCACGACTAAAGATGTGTATCCCCTCCCCCGGATTGATGATTTGCTGGATGCGATTGGGTGTGCTAATTACTTTAGTAAGTTTGATATTCGGCATGGCTTCCATCACATTCTGGTTAAGGAGGAAGATCGGCCAAAGACGGCCTTCGTATTGTTTGAAGGCACGTGGCAGTGGGTTCGATGTCCGATGGGAATTCGTAAGGCGCCTGCCATGTTTCAGCGAGCGATGAACGTGACGTTCCAAAACTTCGTCAACAAGACATGGCTGACGCAGGGGATGATTAACTTCTGCGTGATCGTATACATGGACGATATTCTTGTCTACTCGGAGACCTATCACGGACATGCGCAACACATCGAATGGACATTGGAAGCACTAAGAGACGCTGGATTCAAGATTGCACTCGAGAAGAGCAAATTTTTCCTCTCAGAAATTTCATTCTTGGGCTACGTAGTGACACGTGGAGGACTGCGACCGAACTCCAAGAAAGTTGCGGCGGTGAAGGAAGCCCCCGTTCCCACGTCGCTGACGCAGGTTTGAGCCTTTTTAGGTCTGGCGTCGTACTACCGTCGTTTTATTAAAGGGCTTGCGGCGATTGCTTGGCCTCTCATGAATCTGCTTCGCAAGGACCAGCCTCTGCAGTGAGACTCTGAGTGCGGACAAGCCTTTGATGCGCTCAAAGAGGCCCTGGTAACTGCACCTGTTTTGATCCGGCCGGACCCTCCCAAGCAATTTATTCTTATAACGGACTGGCAACCGGAAGCGATCTCCGCCATTTTGCCACAGAAGGGGAACGATGGTCGTGAACACGTTATCGAGTACGCGTCGCGAACGGTGCCAGACAAACGGAGGAATGACTCTGCGCCCCAAGGCGAATGCTATCCAGTAATATGGGGAATCCAACACTTCCATCCGTACCTCTACGAACAGAAGCTCCGCCTCGTAACGGATCATGAGCCTCTGCTGGCTTTGAAGAAGCTCAATAATTACACGGGCATGATTGGACGTTGGGCGGTACGTCTACAGGAGTACGACTTCGACATCATCCACCGGAAGACAGAAAGACACGGCAACGCGGACGAACTGACACGTCTGCATCGGCCCGCTAAAGTACCTAAGGGCGAGGAAATCACTCCTTGGAAGGAGTCAGAACCAGCAAACGGGCCTAAGTATGGACAAGTAGCAGTTCTCCCTTGTGGCAAGAAGCAGACCGGTGGCAATGGGTGACGGAGGTAACCCTACTACCCCTCTTTCTCCCCTCTCCTCTTCATCTCTTCTTTCCCTGCCTGATAAATTTCGCTATTTTTGCGAAGCAATTTCTCGCGTATATTCGGTCTCCATGCGTCCTAACGGGGAAGGGTATGTGGAATGGATAGACTGTCGACAGTGTGTCGCACGAGCCCATGGCTCGTGCATCCAATACCGAAATGACAGTAAACCGTGGCTATGCCTTTTGTGTCGGGTTGACAAGATCCCGACCGAGGCTCGCTTTTTGGATGCCACGTCAGAAGGGTTGGAGAAGACCTGGAAGTTTATAAGGGCCGAAGTATGGACCGATATCTCTTTGATTGCTACCTTAGTAGGTAACCCCCTCCAGGATTTCACTAAGGAAGATCGAAGGAGGGCTAATGAAAGGGTTCGAGATTATCGGTGGGTCTAGGGTAGGTTAGAAAAACGGAAAACGGACAGCAGTGGGATTTGGATGGTTGTACCGCATCCGTTCATGAGGTATGACTGGGCGAAGACAACACACGAAGAAATCGCGGCCCATTTTGCCATACGAATGACGGAATCGGCAATCGACAAAAATGAGTGGCGTTGGTCTAACATTCGGGACGATGTGAAATTCATCGTTGCAAACTGTCAAGTCTGCACCGCTGACAAGGCACCGATCCAGCCGCAATAGTACCAACGGTAGTTGAGCGGCCGTTTCAAAAGGGTGAGTATGGATACTACCGATATCGTGGTACCTCCTGGCCCTAATAGTTGTGAATATTCAATCCTGCTGGTATTTGTTGACCATTTTTCGAAATGGATCGAGGCCTATCCATGTCGCACGCGGCAAGCCGCCGAAATCGCGCGGTATGTTAACCGTTTTCTCGGGATGCACCAGGATACGGAAGAAATCCTGACCGATAACGGGCCAGAATTCAGAGGGGAAGTATTAAGGAACTTGGTCATACATGGTGTCGCTGTGCGGAATACCGCACCCCACATGTCACAATCCAATGGGCTGGTAGAAAACGCGAATAGGGTGATAAAGACAGCACTGCGACAAAACATCGCGGCACGGGACCCCAGGCCCTGGCCCGATATTGTAGATCACATCTTGGCGGTCCATCGCGGAACGCCCCACGAATCAACGGGCCTGAGCCCCTTCCAATTAAGAACCAATAGCGTCACTTGCGTTTCGATACCGAGCCGCCCCGATGAATCGACACTCAATCGGCGGCCCACGAGGGCCACGGTTCGAGACAAGGCCAAGCGGCACTTAGAGCTAATGGAACGGTCCCTCCCCAGGCTAGCCCGAAAACGCCAGAAAATGACCGAGTTGGCCCACGAACGACAGGTCCGAAGCTATAAGGCCCGAAATGGGAACGCAGGTCCTCGGCCCCAGTACAAATTGGGGGACATCGTGCAGGTGAGGAAATGTGCTCGCCAGGGTAAGCTAGCGCCACGATTCTTCGGGCGATTCCACGTGATTGAGCTCGGACCGAACGGCGTGAACACCGTGCGGCTTGCGCCTGAGGTCTCCGGCAGCCGATCGGCTCGTCCGATCACCCGCCACGTGTCCTACCTCTGTCCCCTTCCTTCTTCCCCATCCTTGCCTTCATCTAATTCATCCTCCACTGCGGAAGAGGACAATGACTGCTTATTGCCTGTCTCTCCGTCTCCTTCTCGTTCTCCTTCTGTTACTCCGTTCCCATCACCATCGCCATGAGTTTTCTGGCGTAGCGAGCTCTCAGCGATTCTCTGCTGGTACCACGGTGCTACATCTCGACGATCTGACAAGTTCATCATCCGCGGCTCAGCCCGGACCTTCGGCGACTTGCGCAGTTCTTCTGTACTGGGGGAGTGTACGCAGCTGCTGAGTTTTGGTTTGCAGGCGGTCCTCGGGCGGTTGTTTTGGCAGAGGCGGTAGCAGTTCATCGGCGATCAGCTCCTGGAATCAGCCACGTGTCCACGGTTGTCGCCTTCAGCGGCGACATCAGCACCATCAGCCCACTGCGGCATACGACTATCAAGATGACGCTCCGACTGTGGGCGCAACAGTTGGCATCAGAGTGGAATCGCTGGCTCACGCCCCACTGGGATAATCTTTTCCCCATGGACGGGGTCGACCTCGACGGGATCCGAGTTTTCCAACAGGAGCCGGCGGTGGTGCTCCCTGAACTCATTCCCTTCCAACGTCCTAAATGAACCCGTCCCCAGTCTCTACCCTCGACCTCCCTTCCTTCTTTCCCACCTTCTGGCAATCCGGAGTCCATCCGCATCTCTCCTTTTGTCTGGAGTCACTCGCTGTCCCCCGCCTTGACCCCCAGCAGTGCAAGCGTTGGCGAGAACACTTCGCCGAGCTGTCGGTGCCTCTGGTCGGAGTAAAGGTCACGTGGACGCGGCACGAGGATCACCGCCAGTGGGCTGAGTACCTTGAGCTGCTTATCATCCAGGCAAGGCGAACGGGAGTGGAGGGCGATCTGCTCGGATTCCTCTTCGGATTGGTGTGGCCCGATCATCGCCAACCAATCGTACAAGAGCTAACGGTCCCCCTGGCGCAGCTGGCCGACGATCTCCCACTTGAGATCGTCTAGCAGAGCAACAACAGCCCAGTCCCGCATGTCCTCCCAGACACATTGATGCCGTACCTTCAGTGGTCGGCTTGTTTGGAAGCGCCCGGAAGTAGCCGCAACCCACCGTCACAGCGCGGTTATCTGGACCCGCACGAGATAGTCAATCTCGCCTTCTTTCAAGATCGGACGGCCTCCGAGAACGAAGAGGTAGAGATTGAAGCGAAAGAGGAAAGCTCGGAAGAAGAAGAAGCCGAAGAAGAGGCCGACGAGGAAGAAACTCCCGAAGAGGGGAGTTACAGTGAGCACAGCAAAGGGGAGCAAAGTGAGGAGGAGGAGAAGGAAGAAGAACAAGACGACGAGGAGGAAGAAGAAGACCAAGAGGAGCTAGAAGAGTCGGAGTGGGAAGGATTTGAGGAGGAAGTGCGTGACGAGGCTCGGGCGCAGGCCCAGGCGCAGAAGAGGGAGGAGATCGCGGTCGGAAAGCGACAGCTGGAGTTTGCCACCGCAGCAGGTTCGTTGACCATCGACGATCCAAGGCAAGATCCAGAGCCGCCCAAGCCCGAACACGGGGACCCAGCTGCTGAGACTTCGGCCGCACCTGCAAGACGGCAACGAAGCCGATCCCCCTCCCCCTCCGCCATCGACCGTCCACCAACTCGTCCACGTACCGATGCGGGGCATCAGGCTTCGTCCCCGGTCATTATCCCGCGGTCCCCTTGACCACCTCTCGTTCCCCCAGATCACCACTCGCGTCACCTTCCCCAACAATCCCTTCCCCATCGATGCCTTCCGCTTTTTCTACACTACCCGCCTCGCTGTCACTGTTCACCCCCACCCTTCCACCCGGTGCGCCCTCCCTGTCTTCTGCCTCCATATCCTTAGTGTCGCGTGGCGGGGCTACCCCGATTACCTCGCATCCCTCCCTCATACTGGCAATCGATTCCCCCGCTTCCACCGGATCGTTCGCTATTAGGAACTCCCGGTGACGGTGGTCGGAATGAAGAGCTTCCTTCCCCCGCTACCAATCAACCCTCCCCCTCGCCATCCCTCCATGTATCGTCTCCCTTTTCCCCTCCCTGACGCTCGCTGATGTATGACTGATGGGCACGCGTCATGACGACGACACGTGTAATCCCCTCCTTGGATTGTCGATGACCCTCCCTGAGGAACTAGTAATAGAGTTGTGTTTGCCACGTTGGACGACGTTCGAACGGTAAGTGGCATAGAAAGAAAAGCTCCGCGTGTCGGTCGATTAAAGAGATCAACACGTGTCAACAAGCAAGCAGGAGCTTGCTAATATTGGAACCCCCTAGGTGTCACATATGTGATGAACCACTTTCTGTAACTCGTGACTTTCTAAGTGATTGCAATGAGGGGTCCTAAGCTGGGAAGGTTGGGCCAATTACGGGAGATTGGGATGGATGGGAAATTGCATCAGTTCCCTCGCTTTTTCGTCTTTTGCGTCGATTCTTTTCGGATGGTTGAGTTCGAAGCTCGGTGAGTCTCGGGATGGGCGATTGATTGGTCGGGTGGATGGCTGGCGCGCCGCCAAGCGCGCAAATAATAAATGTTGATGTCGTTTCTTTTGTTTCGGTTTCGGAACTTTTTAGGAGCGGACATCGTGCGGGAATTTTGCTTTGTTCTTTTTGAAATTTCCTTTTCGAATTCTTTTTCGAATCTTGTCGAGCCTATACGGCTCTCGGAATTTCGACTCTCTTTCCGGAACTTGTGCTTTTTGCTTTTTCGCATTAGATAGGAATTTAGGAATTTTGTAATTAGGACTTTCTTTTGCCGCGCAACGCCTTTTGCTTACACGCTTCTGTATGCGGCTGCAACGGAATTCTGATTAGTCGGCGCCTTTAATCGGGTGTGTAACTGTAATTTTGGGCAGGCGCCATTGTAACTATATCTTTCTTCTTGTGCTTCGTCTTTCCCGCCCTTCCTCTCTTTCTTTTCGCTGAGTTTTGGTAGCCACACTCTGCATGATCGGATCGATGCGTGGAGAGTGGCTACGTCCCCCACGCCGCGATTGGTCCATGCAGAACGTAGGCGTTCCTTCTCTAGTCGTCGTTCTAAGTCTTTGTAATTCTGTGTTCCTCGCGCATGCATGCATGCTATAAATTCCGGTTGCCCGATTAGTTAGCTCTCTTAACCAGCTGTTGGAAGCTCGAGGTTGTGTGATCAGAGAGGGTCGGCACACGAGCGAAGTAAGAGGTGAGTAGAGGAGGAGTCGGGCGACCCGACGAGCTGGTGCCAAACGCGCGGGGTTGACTCGGGCCACGACAGACTGTGGGCGCGGGCGAACCTGACGGGTGCGGGAGGACTAAGCGGGGTGACGGCTTCGTGGGTTGGTGCGCGACGACGGACTGTCTGCATTAGAGAGAGAGAGAGAGAGAGAGGAAGAGGGAGCTGAGGTTGATGGACGCGGATTTGCTGCTTTCTTTTATCTTTTCTCCCTCTTGTCTCGTGTATATAAATTTTGATTTCGGCTCCGGGTGATTTGCCCATTTCTGTTTTCGAAATCTGGATTTGGTTTTTCGCTCACCCTTGTCCTCGTGATTTCCCATCTCGGATATGGTGTATGAATGTATGAATGAATGAATGGATGTCGTGTTTGGTTGTTTGTCTTCCTATCGGATCCTTGCCTTTGCCTTTGTTTACAGCCTTTGATGCACTCATGAGTAGGATAGGAATTTTGTGCGATCGTTAATCCTGTTCTCGTTTTTGGTCATCTTTTGATTGAGCCGTTGTGGCTGTTGCATCTTGCATGCTAGAAAATTACGGAGTGATTAGACAGTCGAATGTCTGGCCCAGCGGACGCGTGTAAACGCGGCCTGATCTGCGCATTTACACGTGCCCCCATGCGTCGATTCGTGAATTCCAAAAAGGACCATCGATTGCAGGAGTACTGTTCGATTGGACGCAGCCATCTGGGGTCTGGGCCGGAGCAGTCATCCCGTACGAACACTCGTAAGCACGACTTGATTCGCGCAGCCTGCACGTGCTCGCACGCGGTGATCGCAATCGGCACGGACCGCCCTTAGGCGCCTCGCAGCTCTGCGATGATGTAATGACACACTCCGAGAGCTCGGAGTCGTTGCCGTACGACCCGGACTATTTCACCCCTTGGATAGAGGAAAGCCTTCGACAGAGATACCCTTGTCTAACAGAGAATCGCCTGCGTCCTAGGGAGTTTCAATGCGCCACCACTAGCGACCCCCGATGCTCTGATTTTCCCACTCAGGACCACACCCACTACTTCACTCACGCCGGGTTTGTCGTTATCTCCACCAGCTTCCCTCCCTTCCGTCTTCTTCTTCCGTATCACTGACTCAGCGTCGTCCCGTGGAAGGTCATAGCCCCATACTGGCCCAGCACGCCCTGTGGAAATTGTCGACGACGCGGCGACCAGAGGGCCCCGGAATCTCGAAGGCCTAACCCGAATGCGCGGTGACCGACGCCACGTGGCAACTTCCGACGGCCCGACTCATCGGAACCTCACCCACTCCGGAGGGACCTTCCCGCAAACCGCCGTCCTCGGAACCATTGGCTCGCCAGGCCTTGAACGACCCGCGCATGCCATCTACCTTATGACCAGAGGTGGTCCGCCCTCTCCGCCAAATTGCACTCGTGCCCCCGAAAAACCCTGCCACAGGAGATCTCAGTTCTGACCTGGAACTTCACCCCCACTTTCTCAAAAATCCTTGGCACACCCCTTTTCGCACTTCCAGGCCCACACTCTACTCCGATCAGGAAGTCGCGCTGGGCGTGAGGTTCGGGCGTCACACCCTTCCCTCATTTCCTTGGACATTGCAGCGCTTCCATGTGTTGAGATTAGCGCAGTGGGGACAATGCCTTCTATGTATCTTCACAAGACCTCATCCGATGTCGGTGTTGGGTGATGGCAGCCTTCATGTGTAGTTGTGTGCTGTCTCCAACCTTCCTCTTCATACTTTGTAACTCCTGTGGATTGTTTTCCATCAGTCAGCCAAGATTCCACTCCTCTGCTTCGGGCCTGAGATGTCGTGTTCCTTTGTTGCTGCCGTAGTGTCCCGGTAGTATTCCCACATTGTTTGCAGACTGTTTGCTCCCATCTTCCATTACCGGTATCCACACTGTGTTCGCGAGGTCGGGGGAGGGGGTATTAGTTGTTGGTGAGAGGGTATCGGAGCAGCACGTGCAGGGATGGCATATGCACGATATTTGGGGGAGGGTAGGGCGTGGCTGTATGACTATGTACAGTTCCTACACCATCATGAGGTGATGCTACTGGTTGGGGACTGAGGAGGGAACATGTGGGAGTGGCAGAGGTGGTTGGGTGTCAGTTTGTTGATCCGTGATGAGTACGAAATTGGGTTGCAAGTACTGCACTCTGAAGTCAGCCCAGGGTCGCCTCTGCCAAGATCGTTCCGTGTTCCTCCACGGTTTCCATTGGATGTCCCGTTCAGCATTCACTTCACTGAACTGTTTGCAGGGAACTTGCCACAGTTCTTTGTAGGTGTGCATGATGGCTTCCTTGGTCTGGGGTTCATTCTCGTTCCTGTGGTCTCTTCTCATCGTCCTCCAAGCTTCTTGGGTTGCGGTCCTGATCACTTCTTCCAGCACTTGTTGAGCCTGTTGCAGGCCAAATTGATCATCCTTCCACTAAAAGGAGCATCGTGCTCGCCAGGCCAGCAGGAGGACATGCAGCCTTGTGTAGGTGAACAGGTTGACTGCAAACGGGGACGAGTTGGCGAGCAAATGCTGGTTCTTGCCCATCAATAGAAGGCCCAGATCCCATGGGATGTGAATGGATGTCGAGGAGTGGAAGGCTGCATCCCACCACTGCCACAGCTGGGTAACCATCGGGCATGCTGGTAGGCAATGCTCAAGTGTCACACGGGCAGGTTGTGACAATCTGCCACAGTAAGGGTAGATAGGGGACAAGTGGCCTTTTTGTTCCAAGTCTGTTCTGGATACGAGCCAATCTGGTGTTGGAAGACACCGATGAAGGATCTGCCATTGCAGCGACCTGAGAGTTGTTGGCATGATTCTTGCGTATTTGGGCCATGGTATATCTTTCATCAATTCTGGGTCCAAAGGAGAATCGCGGGCCCATCTTTCAGATAGTGTGCAGTTGATTGGTTGTTCCGGGTTCAGGGCTCTGTATGCCTTTTTGACTGTGTAATCCCATGTGCTCATCGGTTTGTGTCCTGGCCACTGCCACTCTATCGGGTCAAAGGGCAGCTCCACAATTGCTGTTGAAGATTCATATGCGTATAGTCCTTGTTCATTGTCCCCTACCACCCTTATATGCATGAGGCCGACAGTTGTCTTCCCGCTATCCAGTTCGTCATTGCGTGTCAGTTTCGACATTCTTGCCCCCGGTAGGGCAGGCTCATATGCCTCCAAGGTGCAAGTTCCTTGGTCAATTCGTTGTACCCTGTAGACTACCAAGGGTAAGGGCATGTCTGAGTATTTAATGGTCCAATCACTTTGCTGGACTGTGGGCCCTTTTTTTAGAGTGCATCGCCATGCCAACGGTATGGCCTCTCTTAGTAGGTTCAACTTGGCCTCCACATTTTTGGCATACTTCATCAGTTGTTGTAATTGGGCTGCAGTCCTCCAATTGCCTGTCTGTTTGTCCCACAGGTCTCCTATTGTGAAGAGGCCTTTTCTGACCCATGTGAGCCAATGGGAGTTCGTGTGTAATGAGAATGGATTGCCCGCTTCATCCAAGATGTGAGGGTTGCCAAACAGGGGTTGTCGCCATATGTCGTGCCATCTATCAAGGGGCCGTATTTGTTTTGGTCCATAGTGTCTCCACAGTTTAAGCATATTAGGCCATAGCGGGTCTTGTGCTATGTCTGCTTTTGCTGCGTGGGCTGGTGTCCCCTAGTTGTCGTTTTGTCGGGGAGGGAATGGACCAATGAGCATTGGTGAGCCATCGAAAGGGATGGATCCGGTTGGGGATCGTTGTCTCCGGGGCCAAACAGTTGATCTGTATACAGGCCAGTGGTGCCCACAAAATATCATTGCCTATGAGGAGTCTAACTAGTACCTTAAAAATGAGGGTCGCACTTTCTCTCTCTGGGTCAATTATCCCCAGTCCCTCTTTGCTCCTTGACTACATCAGTATATCCTATTTGACCCGATTAATGCAGCCCTGGCATTGATGTCATTTTTCCAAAGGTAGGTCGTTAGAGCCTTTCTGAGTCTGGAGTATTGTTTCGGTTTAAGTGGCCATACTACCAATTTATACCTGATTGTTGCCAGCACCGCGTTGTTGATTGCTAGTGCTCTCCCAACCAGGGAGGTATGTAGTCCCTCCCAACAGCCAAGACGGTCAACTGCCAGGTCCACCAGCGTTTCTCATGGTCTAGAGGGGGACCGAGCACTGCTAGTCTCACTCCCAGAATGCGCAAGGCTGTTTTTTTTGCTGCCCATGAGACTTATGGCTCTGGCGCCGGGCCGATGTCCTGTGGGTGTAGCCACCACCCCTCTGTTTTAGATCCCCAGTTGACTTTCATGTTTGCTGTGGCAAAGTGATGCGAGCATCTCTGCCTACCAAGAAGAGTGCTCCAATCTATTGGTGGGAAGCAGCACCTGCTGGAAACTGGGTCCAGCGTCCCAAGATACATCAGTATTACACCGGAAGACAATATTACATGAACCACCAGTACGTTTCGCAGCCAGTTTTTTAGAGACGCCGCGTGCATGCTGTTGTGTCGGGTCGGAAGTACTGGGGCACCATTTCGTTGGACATCCATCCAGGCAATAGGGCCTTGCATGCGACCCATTTTGCCTGGATGAATGTGCTGCGAAACGACACCCTGGTACTTCCCGCTTGACGTCGCAGCTTACACGCCGTCTCTTTGGAACAATTGCTGGGAAACGTACTATTAGTTTAGTGAGTCGGGGGCGTGGAAAATAGCGGACGGGGGCGTTGAAGAGGCTTTTTCAAGGTGAGCGTGTGAAGGTTTCAAGAACGGACGGGGGCGTGGAAGAGGGAGAGGGAGGTGGTCGGGCTGTACCAGGTACTGGATGGAGTACCCGGCAGTGTAGACTCCAGCAGCAACCACTCCAAGTGTGCAGACTGCTCCGACGCCGACCTATAATCTTTCTATCGTGCCATCCGCGAATGCTACCATGGTACCGGAATAGATGGAGATGGTACCAATGCCACCTATGCCTCCAACAGGGTATTACCCACCGGCATATGGTTGGCAACCGCTGACTTGGGGATACGGACAGAAGCAGCCGAGTGTGAATCCGTTTCCTGGCCCAGGACAATGGGCCTGGTTCACTAAGGAACATCTCGATTTGATCGAGAAATGGAAGGCGCGCAATGCGACAGAAGAATCGAAGAGAAGCGGCCATGCAGAATCAAGCGGTGGATCCAACTCGACCAAGAATAGGAAGACGAAAGGGAAAGAAGACGACGATAGCGAAGCCAGAATTAAATCATGGATATCAAGCACGTTTGGTAACTCATTGAAGAAGATCGCTGAGAAGTTGGATGACGTGGATAAGCGTATGGTGGCCGCCATGGCTGAACGAGGAGGAGATGAGGAGGAGATGAGGAGGAGAAGGGACGTCACGCGGTAAAAGTCGAAGTTGGAAACAACGAGAAGCAAAAACGAGAGCTGGCTTCACCAATCGCTGCGAGATCGAAGGTTCAATCGAGATCTAGGAGCATCGAGAATGGAGTGAAGATGTGCCCCCTGAGAATCAACATATTGGATGAAGAAGGGGATGGGAAAGTACTGAGTCGGAGTAACCGTGATAACGCGATAGGAGAAGACGGATCTGGAAACGCAGGAGGGGACGCGGTGAAGCTTAACGAGATCAAAGGAATTTTGGTCGAATTGATGGGAAAAATGGGCAAGAACGCGAATTCGGGAGGTAGAACGACTGAATTAAAAGAACGAGAAGTCGTGCGAAAGGGAAAAGGAAAATTGATGGAGGTTGAATCAGAAGAAGTATCGGAGGAGGAGAGTGATCACACGAAGAAGGATTCTGATCAAGCTTATGTGATGGAATACATGAGATGCAGGCTCGACTACTACATGACTTTGAAGTACAAGGAGCTGCGTGCGCTCTGCAAGAAGCGGGAATTAAAGTGCGAAAGGAAGGATAAAGGAGCATGGGAACTTGCAAAACAAGACACTGAAGTGTTCTCCAAGCTGGTGAATACCATTGGAGACGAAGAGAGAGAACGGACGGACGACGAGGAAGAAGAAAACGACGAGGAAGAGGACTCCGAGGAAAAGGCGGAGGATGACGTGGCGGGCAACTAACTTGAAGTACGCTTAGCCTATTTAAGCGTTGCTTACTCATAACTTTGAGGAGGCTGAGAAGTCTCTTGGAAGCTAGTCCCTCTAACTACCTGCGTGCAGATCTAGAGGATACATTTAAACTGGGTATCTTACTTGCATGCTTTAATGACGTTTTGAATTGGGGTCACACTTTTGTCAAATATTGGATGGCCATGGATCGGACTGAACTTGGGAATTTGAACGATGGAGCTTCCCGTGTCTACGTTTTAATCTCCCCCTTTTATAAGGCCACGTATGTAGGACAGACATGTAGACGCCTTCAGGTTAGATGGAATGAACACAGAGTGTGTTGCTCTAACCCAAGTACGAAGGTACGCACATGGCTCGGTAAGAAGGGTGTCTCGAGTTACATTCCAATTCTGATATGGTATGGGCCGAAATGCGATCTTAAAGCTAGAGAAGGCATTGTTATTGCAAGCGAGAACCCTGGTTTGAACACAGTAAAGACAAAAAGGAACAAAAAGAGATCAAGGAGTTGAGAAAGAAACGTGAAAAGGAAGATTGGCACGGCGAGAAAGACACTTGGAAACCTCTCACTTTCGAATGCATGGATCTGAAAATTAACAGCACAGTAGATCAACTATTAAATCTGAAAGTTGCAAAGGGAAAGAAACACCCCGTAGAAATAAAAACCGAAAGCGGTAAAAAATGGTTCAAATCGTGACGCTTCATCTTTTTGATCTATGGTGATAGTAAGATCGTACATGATAATATAAAAATGTTGCTAAAAGACGCACATACATACATTGAAGGCGGAGGGCTTTGGAAAATCGAATGCCTGGTCAAGAATAAATCAAACTCGAATCGCCGGAAATCAGAAATCCTGACATTACTTCGAGCACCGTGGAAACGACGAGAATTGTGGAAGAAAAGTGAAGAGGACTTGTTTTCGATGTTGAAAGGTGTGAAATGCATCAATACTCGGAGAGACCGGCAGATTGTCAGGAGTATTTTATCCAACGAAATAAAAAAAACGAATTGGAATTAACCAAAGGATCAGGTTGGTGGCAAAATTATATTTTTGTACTTGTATTGATAAGAAAGACGTCCGGGGTGAATTATGTGATTGGATAGAGAGGGAAGTTCAATCGAAGGACCTCGCTAACCTTTGTAGAGAAAGTTGCGTGTGGTTTGGACGAAAGCCAGATCCGTGGCTGATATTCTGCACAATCATCGTTATTATGCGAAGACTGAAGGGTCTTGCACACGCAGAGATTTCAACCTGCCCAGAACTGATGGGCATGTTCGGGTAAAATTGAGCGAAATTCCCGGCGTGAAGACTTTCTTACATAACTCTAAAAATATACCTACTCATGAAAGAATGATGAATGTAACCGCAGTTTCGAACGCGTGCGAAAAAACAATGGAACCATTGAAGAAAGTCGGGTTGACAAAGAACCGGCTAAGGATCAAGATAGAAAGGATCGTGTGCACGGGTCCTCAAGTGAAAGAAGATGTGGTACTGATTGAGTGCGTCGTTGGGATCATAGGTGCCTTTGATGGTTTGGTCTTGTCCCCACTGGACCGGAACCCAGGAGAAACCTTGATAGAATGCCTATTACTTTATGGCAAAGGGATGAGGAGGATGTTCAATGATAATCCGAACTATGAAAAATGTGGAGAAAAAGAACAAAGTATCTTGCACAGAATGAGACAGCGGTTTCACGAGCAGGGATTGGACAAGATTGCGAGATGGAACAAGGATGGGCAAATACAACACGCATTTGTGATGAGCAAAGACAAAGATAAAAAAAAAGAAAAAAATGATCTGCCCAGCATACATGAGCTCCGTAAGATCTGTCGCCAAAAATGTAACTAAAATCTTGAGTTTGTTAATTGGATTAACGAAACAACCACACTTCAATCTCGAATCCACACAAAAATTGAAAGCAGGGATACAAGTAGTTAACAAAAAAATGAACAGTACTTCGAAGAAACAATACATCATACTAAGGACAGATAATATAAAAGAAATGTTCACAATGATCCCTAACGATGAGATAAGAAGTGTGGTGGAATGAATTATTAAAGAACGGACAGAAAAAGGAAAGAGATGGACAAAAATTAAAATATGGGGGAAAAGACGCACGAATGGGAAAATCTGCAGGAGAAAAAAACTGGAAATCAATCTATTTAAAAGATATTCTCAAAATGGTCGATTTTCTGCTCCGTAATGAGATTTTGCATCAGAAAAAAAGAATACCGATGGGAGGACATACAAGTCCCTCTCTGGCTTGCCTGGTGTGTATGAAAGCAGAATATGGCTTCCTAAAATCACTAGGCAGAGATCGATCACTAGTATGGGGCAAGAGATTTATGGATGATCTCTTGCTTATCACTTGGTATAACGATGATAGGAACGAAAGACAAAAGGTTGAAGAAAAGGTTAAACAAGATCTCAGGCTGTTATCACAAAGATCTAGTATTGGGACGAGTTGATGAAGGAACCAACATCACTGAGTTCTTGGAAACAAGATAATAGTGCTTGAAGAGCCACTTAAGGTTTAGACAATTCACAAGTTTAAGAACACGGACTGCGTTTGGAATAAGGAGGATTTTCAATACAAGATCACCAAGAGCTACGGATCTTTCGGATCGAAGGAACAAAATTTTGTTACGATCATGGGGACATTACATAGGATCAATAGTAAAACGTTCGAAGACTCAGTTTTGATCATGGTGCTGATGACGTATCACCGATAACTCACCTTGTTTGATTACCCAAGTGAGATCTCCGTGAGAGCTCTAAGAAAAATGGCGAGACGGGTTAGAGGGAGGGTTTGGGCTGATATTGCTCGACTACTTGGGGCTCTGTACCTGACGGGCAGAGTAAAAAGATGGGTCGAACGGGGGATCCGAATGTAACTGACCCATTGGCTGTCCTGTTGGAAGACTCTGGCTCTGTGAAAACACATGCGCAGTTAGAAGAAAAAAAAAACAGACGAAGATCAGCCGAAGATCTGGGAGCGGACAAAACGGCAAAGGACCCGACAACAGATACAAGGATCTTGAAGCGCAAGGGTGAACTGGAATCTGGTCAGTAAATCCCACGTTACCGTGGAGTTGAGGACCAGCTGAAAGCTTACCACGGCGACACGTTTTCTCAAAGCGAGTCTTATCAGCCAACATTCTCAAGTTCATGAATATATATATTTTTTCTTCTTTTTAATATTTTTTTAATTTAATTTCTTTTTAAGTTTTTTTTTTTTTTCACTTCTCGATAAGCGAGATACTAGTATTTATACACGAGCAACGAAGAGCTCGTCATGGCTTGAGCAGAATGGAGTAGAAGGTTGTGGAGGCGTAGTGTAGTGAACGCCTGGATGTAATGTAGTTATTCTGTGATAATAAAACTCCAACTACATTGCAAGTTTTGAGTAATTACTACACTAGTGAGTCGGGGGCTGGGTTAACACCATGAACACCACCGCCTCACGTGGACGCCGCAACATGCTCGTGGAGTCAGGGCGTGGACCAGACTGCCGCCGAGAAAAACAGACGGGAGATGAAGACGCTGTGAAGAGAGGTTTATCTCGCCATCACCATAAGAGGTATCAAGGACAAGGTAGGCGCTGAGAGTGTGAAGGCGGGGTGGATCGATTAAGGGGGACAAAGGGGATTGGGAGAGCAACGACGGAGTAGGGGGCCAAAACTATTGGTGAGGAACATCGTGGAGCCATGTGCTAGATGTGATGAAGTGACCCTCGTTGACCCTCGTTAAACTTGAGGATGACGGTCAAAAAGTGTTTACGAGTGAAGTCTGCTGCTGAAGTGGACATTGCGACGAAAGGCGTGGACCAGACTACCGCCGTGAAAAACAAATGGGAAACAAAGACGTTGTGCAGATAGGTCTCGCTCGCCATCACCATCAGAGGTATCAAGGTAGTAGGGGTTGAGAGTGTGAAGGCGAGGTGGATCGAATAAGGGAGAGAGCAACTGCGGAGTAGGGGGCCAGGGCTATAGGTGAGGAATATCGCGGAGCTTTATGCTCAATGTGATGAAGTGACCATTGCAAAAATTGGAGGATGACGGTCCAAAAGTGTTACGATTGAAGTCAGTTGCTGAAGAGGACATTACGAAGAAAGGAGAGATAGGCAGTTAATGAGATGACTCTAGCTCCTCAAGGGGCCGCGGGAAGAGTTGTTTCTTTCCCGGTGGAGGAGCTACGGTAAACTTGTGAAGGTAACAAAAACCAGGTGAGTTTTCATCGATTATTTGCATGCTTCTCTTCTTTTGCACCGGTCGAAGCACAGGTAGGGTAATAGGTTTTCACTTTTCAAGTAACATCGAAGAACAACATCAAGTAACATCATCTTGGACTAGTTTTGAATGGGCTGCGTGCAGGCTTATTATCCACTAAAATCATCCTCACTGACTGTAAACATGCATATCTTCCACTAGAATTCAGCCCCTTTTTTTGGAGACGAAGAACGAGGGGGAGATTGGGCGAGAGGATTCGGTGGAGGAAGAGTAGAAGTTGGGATTGAAGGGGATACAGAAGATCGGGAAGAGATGGTTGGGAGATAAAGGGTATCAAGAGGACAAGAGGAGTAGTTCATGCACTCTCGGGGGATGTGAAGTAGAGGGGAGGATGATCGAGGAGACTGGTGCATGAAGGGGATACCTGTTGGATCTCAGAACTCTTAATCGGAGAAGGGGAAAAGAAGTGGGGGTTCGACGAGGATGAAACAAGAAAGGAAGCAAAAGGACGATTTTTGGGGAAACCTGACGGGAGGGAGCTAAAGGGAGAGAACAACAACGGGGAGTATCTATGAAGGATATTAGTGTGCAAAACGAGTAATGTTGCGTGAGGATGATTGAGGAGATGGAATCTTGGAATCGGGGATTGAGATAGGAGGAGGATTGAAACTGGGAATGTTCGAAACCGGTGAATGAAAAACTCTTAAACAAGGAAGGGGGGTGAAGTGGGGGTCTGAGGATAAGGGTGGAATAGGAAACGAAACACAAAACAACAATAGAATCCAAGAAG